GAGAGCCTGGTTGCCCCGAGTCACACAGCTAGTTAGGAGCTGGACAGGATCCCTCTTGCCCTCATTCCCGGTTCCCAGGATTGTGTGTGTGAGAGAGAGAGACAGGCCAGCAGACAGACAGACTAACTGGCTGAGATTCCGGCCAACTGACTGAGTCCACAGCAGCGCCTCACCCAGCGACTCCGGCCAGTGCACCGTCAGCACGTGGCCGAGCTGGAAGGCCAGCTGCCACCACTCCCTGAGCCGGCACAGTCAGCATCCACAGAGCCAATTCATCTACCTGTGGTTTAATGAGCATCAGATGCTGCAGCCAGGGACCTGAAGGCCCAGAAAATTCCAATTTCAAGCCCACTCTTTATAGTCAATTAGCTTCACAACCCCGCACCCTGGAGACCCCAGGGCCAGTGGAGCCACGGAGCCGGCAGCTGGGGCATCTCCCCAAACACCAAGCCCGGGCCCTTGCTGGACAGCGGTCTTGGTGTTCCAACATCAGAAATGCCTCCACTCCTGGGGAAAAGACTATTGGAAAACGGGGCGTAGGGCCGGTCTGGAACAAGAGGAGGCGTCTCAACAGCTCCGGGCAGAACAAATCCTCAAGGAACAGGCACACATTCTGCTCTCAGACCCTCCCTCCAAAGTCGCTTCAGATTGACCAACAAGACTCCATGAACTCGGGAACAGCCCAGGGAGGTTCAAATAGGTTAGCTGTGCCACACCGGTTAGGTTCTCTGCCCGGCCCCCCATTTCCACCCACCTCCTTCTCCCTCCACCTGCTTGGAGCCACGAGCACTATGACTCCGCCCCTATGACCACTGGTGATTGGACAAGGAGTAGGCATCTGGTCTGACCTGGACCAATCGGAGCCCCTTCGCTGAAAAGTCGGGGACACTGGTGTTGGGGGTGGAGAGAGAGGAAGGAAGAGATAAGTCTCAGGTGCCTGAGGCTAGAAACTGTACCAGGGGCCTTTTCCACACACCCCGTGGGCCAGAGAAGCGAAGAAATCCCGGCCTCAGAGAAAGAAGCATGAAGCAGAAAGGAACAGTGGACATCCAAAATCGAGCCCCTGTAATGTCCCCTCCCTGGTCCACTGGGGCTCACAGACATATTTGCTCTGTTGTCTGCCTTCGTCACTACATCATGGCACGCAGCTTTGGAGTCAGACACACCGGGATGGAAGCTGAATTCTGCCAACCAGTCGTCTATAACCTTGAGAAACCTCACTCCCTCTCTGAGCCTCTGTTGCCTCAACTATAAATCGGTAATAAAAACAACCTCCCGGCAGGGCTGTGGAAAGAATTTGAAATAATGGCTAAGGCATCGAGTGCAACATCTGTAGGCACCTATAAAGTGCTTTGTAGGGCTACTAGGTTTCTAGGCATACCTAGAAAATTCCTATCCACATATCAAGACCCAGTTTAAGGGTTAGCACGTCCGTGAGGTCTCTCCCCCCCCAATCCTGGACTCTGACAGAGCTCCTGCCTCTGACCTTGAAGCAACTTAAACATATGCTCCTTTTAAGTGTGTGTTATCTGACTGATGCCCAGGGCAAGGAATGGGTCTGATTTCTCCCTGCAACCCCTGGTACAGGCCTGGCATGCAGAGGAGATTTGTAGATACGTACTTAACTGAATCACATCAGATCACTGAAATCTTATTGAATTCTGTCACCTAGTATACTCACCCAGCTTTTAGAAGTTGGACTTCCTTCTTCCTCAATAACAATAATCGTAGCTAAACGCTATTGATCGCTTCCTGCCTTGCCAGGCGCTTTCTGGGTGTGCCTCTGGTACTCACTTAACCCTTCCGGCCGCCCGTGAGGTAGGCACTGTAATTCGCCTTGTCTTCCAAATGGGGAAACTGAGGCTCAGAGACTTGTGTCAGATGTCCAAAGTCAAGCAGCCAGGAAGCAAGAGGAGCCAGATCCGAGTCCATGTGTTCTGTTTCCTCTTTTTGCCTCTTTTGCCTCTTTTTTTAGCTTTTTATTTTTAAATAATTTTCGATTCATGGAAGCGTTGCAAACATGATGCAGAGAGTCCCCATATGCCCTCCACCCAGCCCCCGCTAGCGTTGACGTCTCCCGTAACTGTGGTATATGGATCAAAATCTAAAATTGGGTGCCAGGGTGCCTCCGTCGGTTAAGTGTCCGACTCTGGTTTTTGGCTCAGGTCACAATCTCATGGTTTGTGGGTTCAAGCCCCTCACTGGGCTCCGTGCTGACAGGATGGATGGAGCCTGCTTGGGATTCTCTCTCTCTCCTTCTCTCTCTGCTCTTCCCCTGCTCTCTCTCTCTCTCTCTCAAAATAAATAAATAAACTTTAAAAAAATAAAAATTAACCTCAGTACGACAGTATTAATGAAACCACAGACATCACTCGGATTCCCCCAGTTTTTCCACGAATGGACTTCTTCTGTCCCAGAATCCAGTCCAGCACCCCATGTCCCATTTACTCATGATACCTTTCCTTAGTCTTCTCCAGTCTGTGACGATTTCTTGGTCTTTCCATATGTTTCATGACCCTACCGCTTTGGGAGAGTAACAGATACTTTATAGAACGTTCCCCACTTTGGACTCGTCTGGTGGGTCTTCGTGAACGGTCTGAGGTTACAGATTTGGGGGAGCATACCGCATAGGTTCAGTGCCCGGCTCCTCGCACCATACAGGGGGCACATGATAGCAACGTGACTCATTACCGGTGATGTTAGCACGGATCACTTGGTTTCTCCTCTGCAGAGTCACTATTTTTGCACATTTGCCTTTAACCAGCATGCTCTGATGCCCCTCGGTCAACATCACTGGGGCCGGAGAAGAATAGTGCCTGGCCTGGCGGGATGCTCCCAGAGATGAGAGCCCAGAACAAAAGGATTCTGGGTCACCCAAGGGAGGGCCAAAGTGTCAGCTGCCCCGCCTGGCATCCAGAGCACCAGGAAGGGGCATTCTCCCCACGCTGGAATCACCAAGAAAGGCTTCCTGGGATCGCAGCACTTCGGAGGGATCTGTAAGGCAGCAGGGAAGGATGACCGTTCCAGGCAGGGAACCGGCACCAGCGCGGGCATCCTCGCAAGGAGAAGCCAGCGGGGACGGGATCTAAATAAGAAGGCAGTGACTAGACTAAAATCACAAAAAAAAGGTCATCATAGCCATCCCTCATCTCCAGGCAGGATGACTCTGTAACCCTCCCCAGTCCCTTCAAAACGTCTCCACATTTATAGCCTAGAAACTCAGAGCAATGGTTTCCAGATGGGAAAAATCAAGCCAGTGGAACATCCCCTATCTCTCCCCGGCCCCCTCCTGCCTCTGTGCTCCCACCGCACTTTGACACTCCCCCTGGCATTGATCACAGCCGCCTTTGCTTTTAGATGCAAGCAAGTGTGCTAGTCTGAGCACCAGCCTCCCCACTGGACTGCAGCAAGGTGGGGGGGGGGGGGGTGCCGCACCAGCCTCCTCTGCCCCTCCCCCTCCAGGCACTGAGCCCCGAGCCCCTACACACAGTAGGGGCTTAGCAAATGCTTGCGGGAAGGCAGGAAGAGAGCAGACTCACTTCTGCAAGAAGCTTCGAGGAGACTATTCTGAAAACATCCTGCAACTCCCACCACCTTCCAAAGCTCAAAAAATCATTTTAAAAACTGACGACTGTGAAATTTCAATTATATTCACAAGGAAAGCTAGAGTGAACCGCAAGCAGCACAGAATAGTGGCTTTGCGTTTGAGAGGCCACAAAGGGCCTGAGAGAAGGGCCAGCCTTGAAGCCAGACCTATCGGTTTCCAGAACCCAGCTGTACATGAGCAGTCCTGAATTTATAGCCTTTGAAGGAGGGGGACAGCTCCAGGGAAATTAGAAGTCTATAAGGATGGGTAGGTAGCCGGCATGAACCAGCTACCAAAAACAAGTTAGTGCTCGAGGCTGCATTAATAGGTGTATAACATCCACACCAAAGGAGGTGATAGACATGTTCTGCTCTATGCTGGCTAAACCACCATCAGAGAATTGGGCTCAGGAAGACAAATTGGATTTTGTGCAGAGGTTGTTCTTCAGAATACAGACAGGTCTGGATTTAGCCAGATGGAAAGAAATGTTCCAGATAAAAGAAAAATATGCATGAACAATCTGAGACGAGGCTGACTGCTTCTGAGGACCTTCAAGAAAGGCCAGCATGGCTTAAAGAGAGAAAGCAAGCTGTGACCGGACTTCGGACTGGAGAAGTGGGTGACGGCCAAGCCCTGCAGGGTCACGTGGGTCGTATACAATTTGGATTTGATCCCAAGAACAATGAGAAGCCCTAGTCTGTCTTTGCATGTTGGCCAGAGACCCAGAGCAGGCTAAGTCCCACACCCTACTCCCTGCCCCCCCCCCCCCCCCCCCCCCCCCCCCCCCCCCACCACACACACCATGGAGGAACTGATCATCTATGTCCAGTAGGGACACTACACTGGAAGAGCTTCAGAGGAGCAGGTGGTGGGGCTCCCTGGAGCGTTGCTCATGAGAACATGGCCCCCTGGAGAATGTAGCCTCTGCCTTCACGTTTGGACCTGGCCTTCAGGGATCTCAGAGAACCAGCAGCTGGGAGAAAAGGCTTTCTGCAGCAGAATTGCCTGAGGTTGATCTGACTTTTTTTTTTTTTTTTTTTTTTTTGCCTCTCCCTGCAGAAAACTGGGCACCAGAGCTGATCTCTCTCCTGTGCTACTTCCCTTAAAGTCAAAAGAAGTCACCACCTACTAATCCACTCTCCCTGCGGTACGCGCAGTCAAGCCTCCCAGGCCGGTGCACGGCGGGCACACCCCTGGGTCCCCAGAGATACCTTCGGAGGCATTTCACTGCAGCAAACACAGACTCTTAACCCCCACCCCTGGACGCAGCGCGTCCACACCACCCCCGTGGCCCCTTTCTGCGTAGTTCCCAGATGCCGCGACCAGAAGCTCCACCCTCAACGCCTCCTGAAATCAAGTGCAGCTGTCACTGTTGCCGCTGCCCTCAGTAATCACCCCCCAGTCAAGGTCCCGGATGGGTGTGTTTGACTGGTCCCCAGCCTGTGCCCTGACGGCGAGGCAACCTGGTCTGCTGAGGCTGCCTGGTTCCAAGACTCGAAAGCTAGAGTTGGCAAACGTGGGCAAGTGGTTCCGATGCAAGAAGGCCAACAAGAAGTGGCATATGCCCACTGCAGGTGGTTTTGTACAACCCAGATTCTGACACCAACGTCTCTCCTGGGAGAGGCTTTCTTAGTTTTAAGCAGCAGCAAGCCCAAGACTGGGAGTGATGGGTGGGATTATAAAGCATCTGTGAGGCTCAGAGAACCCAAAAGGCAGGGGTTGCCCACACAGGCAAATCCCTTAGTCTCTGTGACCCCAGGACTCCGTGGGACCCAGGATCCCCAAACCTGCTGCTAGCAGCACAGGGAAGGTATTTGTGGGTCCCACGTGGCTGGACCCTCCATGATTAAACCCCACGTTCGCTCCCAGCGAAGGCAGAAGGTCAAAGCCAGAGGCACAACCTATGTGATGAGCCCAGTGGCCTCCCTTTCTGCAAGGCGGTCGGTCTTGGGGGAGCAGAAACCAAAAGCTGCACAGACTGTCTCAAAGCACAAACCAAGGCTAAGAGGGACCCCCTGTCCCCTGCCTGCCCCTAACAGGTCCCCGAAAAGTTTCTGCTTCTTTAGTCACAATCCCACGAGAAGACACAGGACGCGACCACGTCTGTGCCACCGTGAAACCGACTGCATCCTCTTCCCAGAATCCTCGGTGCCTGACCCCTTGGAGCCCAAGTCTCTGCACCCCTGCACCCGTCAAAGATGCAAAAACCATCCAGTGAGTCCAAGCCACCCTCCTTCTGGAAAACTCCGTCACCTTATAACACCCTTTCCTGAGATTCCCCAGCCCAGAGGACCCCACCTGACAGCAGCTGGATACAGATACCAATGTTCTGTGTCCATGCCAGCCTGGGATGGGGCAGGGTCTGCCAGCCAGCACCCCCTTTCTTTCCTTTCCCAAGACTCACCTAAGAGTAAGCAGAGGCTGGAAAGGAGAGCTACCCCAGGGATACGTGTTAAAATTAAACTATAGTGAGAGCAAGATGACTAACCACCCCCCCGCCCCGTGACTAATTTAGGACTCGTCACACTGGCCATCCCTTCCGGAAATCAGATGAAACCTTTAGGGAAGAGGAGTGATCTGTGTTGCATAATCACACACGTGGGACCCCACCCCCACCCCCGACTCCCACCCCCTCCCCTTTAGCCTAGAGGAGAGAATAATAATAATAATAATTAAGCTGCTCTATTTATGGTTCTGAAAATCAGCAGTTCTGGGCCACACCTGCTAGGGTCGAGCTGAGCCATGGAAACACTCTGCGAGACGTCCCCAAGTCTGCCTAACAGTAGCGGGCAAGACGCAGGAGCCGCCAACATCCCCCCTTCGGGGAGAACACAAGGGCTATTTAGAACAGCTCGTTGATGGGGTCAAGGAGAGGAAGCTGGAGACTCTGAAGGGCATTTCACGTCGTGAAACCCAGCCGGCGGCCCAGGCTCATCACTCAGCATAAGCCATACAGATTTATTTATATTTTGCACGAAAGAGGGAAATTACTTAGCCGTGGGGATCAATTCTTCAATCCAGTGTTTCTAACATGGCAATAAATTTATTTCATCATCTCCCTTTTTCTTTCTCTTCTCGAAGCTTAAAGAAATAAGCCACGCTCCGGAGGCCCCGGAACGGGGGACATGAGCGGGAGGAAGGCCAGCGAGAAACAAGGTGTCAGGCCAGGAAACCACTCACTGGGCCACCCGGCTCTGTGGAGCGAGCTCTAGAGTTGGAGTCCTGAGACCGGGGTTCCAGACCCTGGTTCTGTCACTTCTCTGCAGTGGGAGTGACCCTGAGCAGGTCCCTGAACCCCCAAAGTGAGGAGAGCTATTCCAGGGCCCCACCAGGCAGGTGTGAGAAGTAGATGAGACCAGATATATTCAGGCTTCCGTTCGGCTCCCAATACATCAACATGACTGACTGAGGATGAATTGTAACATTTGATGATGTGACCCGTCATTCTCTCTACCCAAGCTGCACAGTCTGTGATGTCACAGAGACATCACAGCTTGAGTGAGGTTAACACCCAGGCCATGTCCCAAGGCCAGAGACTGCTTGGACGTCCCTCCCCGCATGGGGACAGGCTGAGTCTGGGATCTTTGTGACAGCTCTGGCCGAACGTGCCCTGGAGTCCAGCGAAGCCTCCAGCAGCTGGACAAGTGTGATAAATGGTCCCCCCTGGCACGCCACACCCCTCCACCGGAGATGGGCCGGGGCTGGTGTATGGACCATGTGAATGCAGCTGCTGGGTAACGCAAGGCCGTGATGGAGAACCATGAACGTGGGGATGAGGTCCAGGGAAGTGACAGGAAACCTTGGTGCTGGGAGATGCTTGCAGGCGGAGAGGGGAGAGGGGTCCAGATGGAGGAAACGGCCAGAGCAAGCGAAGCTGCAAGGATGCAGGAGGAAGCCCAGGAGCCGAGCGGGAAGGAGCAGAAAAGATCATCCTTCAAGGCCTGTGCCAAGTGTCTCCTCCTCCAGGAAGAGCGTTCTAACCTCTGGTTGCGCTCCTGCTCCCAAAGGAGCCACTGACCATGCGTCTGTAAGACTCCTCCACAGGGGCTTTCAAGACCCCCAAATCTGGCCCCAGACCACCTTCATCCTCCTAGACTTTCCTTCCCCAAACGCAGCCCTTCCCCCACCTCCCAGGCCTTTGCTCCAGGCATTTCCTCTACTGCTAATGCTTCCCCTGCCTCCCTCCCACTCATCAAACCTCTGAGTTCCCTACTAACCCAACTCAAATGCCTCTTTTCCAGGACACTATCCTACAGCCTTCTTCCTGAACGGCTGTCATCCTGCCATCCCCGAATCCTCAGAACGTTTTGTCCTTTCGGGGGGCCTCCTGTACCTCGCCCTGTGCCACCGACGCTCATTCCAAACCAAAAATGTATTGAGGGAAGATAAGTAAACATGGCCCACGCACACAATGGAATACCACTCAGCAACAAGAAGGAACAAATTACGTGTACATGCAACAACACGGATGTCAAAGATAGTATGTTGAGGGGCGCCCGGGTGGCTCAGTCAGTTAAGCGTCCAGCTCTTGATTTCGGCTCAGGTCATGATCTCACAGTTCGTGAGTTTGAGCCCTGCATCTGGCTCCATGCTGACAGTGCAGAGCCTGCATGAGATTCTCTCTCTCTCTCTCTCTCTCTCTCTCTGCCCCTCCCCCACTCGTGCTTGTGTGCTCTCTCTCTCTCTCAAAAATAAATAACCATAAAAAAATTAAACTCAAAAACAGTACATTGGATGGGGCGCCTGGGTGGCTCAATCAGTTGAGCGACCAACTTCAGCTCAGATTATGATCTCACGGTTCGTGAGTTCGAGCCCCGCGTCAGGCTCTGTGCTGACAGCTCAGAGCCTGGAACCTGCTTTAGGTTCTGTGTCTCCCTCACTCTCTGCCCCTCCCCCATTCATGTTCTGTCTCTCTCTGTCTCTCAAAAATGAATAAACATTAAAAAAATAAGTTTAAAAAATAAAACAAATTTAAAAAATAGTATGTTAAGTAAAAGAAACCAAACCCAAGAGCACAGACTGTTGGGAGTCCCTTTATGTAAAGTCCTAGAAGAGGCAAGATTAATCTATGGTGATAGAAATCAGAACAGTGGTTGCCTTTGGGAACGAGGGTAGGGCTAAACATGGGACTTTTCTAGGGTGATGAAAATGACCTGGTTCTGTGCTGTCCAACACAGTAGGCACTAGTCACATTTGGTACCTGAGCATCTGAAATATGGCTACACTGAAGTGAAATGTGCTGTAGGTATAGAATACACCCTGGTTTTCAAGAACTTAGGATGAGCAAAATAATGTAACATATCTCCTTAATGAATCTGTATATTGATTACATGGTGAAGTAATATTGTGGATATATTGTGTTAAGTAAATATGTTATTTTTTTTATTTTTTAAATGTCTATTTTTGAGAGAGAGAAAGAGACAGAGTGCAAGCAGGGGAGGGGCAGGAGAGAGAGGGAGACACGGAATCTGAAGCAGGCTCTAGCCTCCGAACTCTCAGCACAGAGCCCAATGAGGGGCTCGAACTCACGGACATCAAGACCGTGATCTGAGCCGAAGTTGGACATTTAACCAACTGAGCCACCCAGGTGCCCCAATATGTTATTAAAATTAATTTTACCTGTTTCTTTTTATTTTTTTTAACAAGGCTACTAGAAAATTCTTAATTACCTATGTGGTTTACATTATATTTCTATAGGACAGCCCTGCTGTCAATCTTGATGTAGGTTACATGGGCGTACGCATTTGTCAAATTAGAGTGCACCCATAAGATCTGTGCACTTCAATATATGTAAGCTATATCTCGATTATAAAACAATTTTAGTGAGCACCTACTATATGTTCGGTGTTGTTAATACTGCACTGTAGGAATAAAAAAAAAACAGACCCACTCAGTCTAGTCAAAGTAACTGACTTTCATCAAATAATTGCTCTAAAGAATGATCTTATCTCGTTCCCAACCAGGCTTAGTACTGTTAAGGCAGGGACCGTATTGGGGCACTTTTGTCCCTAATGCTGACTAGCACAGAGAGGGGTGCATGTCAGGGGCTCAATGTATTCCCATACACTGAGTTGAACTACTGAATTGGTTAATATTCATTTCCTGAAACAGGCAGGTAAATAGAGTCTACCTGGGGGGAATGTTGCTGCCTTTAATCCAGACCAGCTAACACGTCACTGCTTTGGTCGTTTTGCAAAATTTCCAGGGACAGAAGGATCCAGAGTCCATCACCATTCTTGGCCTGCTCTTTGGGATATAATCCTAGTATAAGACATCAAGCCTTCTGCCTAAATTCTCTGGACGTCTTGGGTAAATACCGTGAGGAGGGTAAAAAAATTAATTTTTTAAAATAGATTTTCTTACCTCAACTGGAGTGTATATACAAGGACTGCTTTTCCCTCCAGAGATTTTGAAGGTAAAGTATGTTAGGAGACATCCCTACAGAATAGGGGGTTCCTACAAGGTAGATGCACTCACGTAAGTTTTTTAGGAAAGGTTTGTAAATAGGCACATACTGGTTTTCTTTCCAGATCCTCAGGCCTTAGTAGGAGAGTTACTTCCTGCCTGTGAGCTC